CTTCCTCCATTGCCGGGGCAACCAAGCCTCCTGCTTGCTGCAGCTCCGTGGCTGCCGGCCGCCATCTTTGTTGGGTTAATTTGCATATAGTCGCTCTGATCGGCTGGTGGGCATGGCTTAGGGCATAGCGAAGGTATGGTCAATTAGCATCTTTGTCTTTTATTAGTGTAGATATTATAGGCCCACAAGTGCAGCTGTCTGATTGATTAGGAGACTAAAAGCAGAGGGAAAAGGGGAAATGGATAGGGGTCGGAGTCAGTGTTTCAGGCAAGGCTGAACTCATGGGCATGTGACCGGTGCAGTCACACAGCACACCACTCTCAGAATGGACTCAGCTCTAGGTTTAATGCTCTGCTTTCCCGCCTTGAAATACCTAATACTTTGTCTTTGAACCGTGTTTTGTAAGAGAAGCCCAATTCGGCACTAAAGCATGTGTGTGAGCAGAGAAGATACACCAGGTGGCAGCAAGCAGGCTCCTGCCAGCAGGAGTGGCGGAGCAGCGGGCAGCATGGGTGCTGAGCAGTTGGCCTGGCTACCCGGCGTGCGCCCACATGGCTGGGCAGTCTGGGACACCGTGGGGCTGCAAGGGGGCAGCCAGGCCAGGATCCGTGCCCAGACTGGCAGTCACAGCAGATGGCTGCAGTCCACCAGGGCCATGGGGAGGGAAGGGACCCTTCGTGGAAGAGTCTGTCCTGTAGCATCTTCCCAAATACAAGCCCTGCAGCCTAAGGCAGTGCTCACGCAGTAAACCCAGTGAAGTATTACAGAACCAGAGCATCCACGTGGATGCTGCAATAAAGCATATCATAGAGTCAGAATTCTTCAGTGTGTAGCATCTCTGATTTTGAAAACTGCTGCCACATTGCAAAGCAAAAAAATAACAATAAAAATAAAAAAAGCCACAGGCTTTGAAATTAAATTTAAAGATCATATTCTACAGAAAATAATTCTATTTTTATGTGAAGTTTCATTATTAATGAGGAAGGTAATGTTAAAACTAAGTTTTCCTTGTCAAAGATACAGCAATCAAATGATAAAAGAGGTTATTTAAACTATATACAATTCATGAAGTCACTATCTTTTTAACAATTTTTAAATTGATTTTTAGAGAGAGAGGGGGAGAGAGAGAGAGAGAGAGAGGAGAGAGAAACATCAGTTGGCTGCCTCCTTCACGCGCCCCAACTGGGGATGGAACCCATAACTTGGGTATGTGCCCGGACCAGGAATCCAACCCGCCATCCTGTGATGTATGGGATGGACACTCCAACCAAATAAGCCACACCGGCTAGAGCATGAAGTCACTTTCAGTCTCTCGTACCACCTCCACAAGTTACAGAAAAAGTTAGAGGAAACGTTACAGTGTCACCATATACATATAAAATTACATTCAGATTTATATGAAATTGATTTGTATGGAGAGTTAAATCTTTTTATTTATTTATTTTTATATTCTCACCCAAAGAGTACGTATATTTTTCCATTGATTTTTAGAGAGAATGAAAGGGAGGGGAGAGGGGGAAAGAGAGGAGAGAGTGAGGAATATCAATGTGACAGAGACACACCGATTGGTTGTCTCCCACATGTATCTCGACTGAGGGTGGGGATGGGACCTGAAACCCAGTATGTGCCCTTGACCGGGAATCAAACTTGTAACCCTCCGGTGTGCAGGGTGAGAATTAAATCTTTTTAGGAAAATTGTTCCACAAGAATCATCAGCTAAAACTTATATTTTGAAATACTTTACCAGAAATTTCTCCTAATGTAACAGCCTATGAAATATTCTTACCAACTCCAGTAAGTTGCATCTGCAAAAAGATCCTTCTCCAAATAAAAATTATAAAAAATTGCGACCTTGCATTTGCCCGTCGTAGCTTTCAATTCCGGGCATACTTCAGAGAGGGCTCGGCTCCAGGCCGCTGTAGTAAAGTGACTATTGCAATAAAGTGAGTCATAATCTTTTAACCGGCAGAGGGTCTTGCCTTCAGTTTGTAAAACACACATCTGCGAAGCTCAATAAAGCAAAGCACAATGACATGAGGTAGGCCCGAGTGTCAGCTGAAATGACATTGGCAAAAGTATGCATTTTGATGACCTAATAAGTGAATTTGTAGGAAAATCTAATTATCAATCAGCTATATTAGTAAATTATTTATTATACTAAAGACCCGGTGCATGAAATTTGTGCACTCGGGGGGAGGTCCCTCAGCCCAGCCTGCACCCTCTCATAGTCCGGGAGCCCTCAGGGGATGTCCTAAGCCGTCAGTCAGACATCCTTAGCACTGCTGTGGAGGCGGGAGAGGCTCCCACCACCGCTGCTGTGAGCCTGGCTTCTGGCTGAGCGGTGCTCCCCCTGTGGGAGTGCACTGACCACGAGGGGGCAGTTTCTGCATTGAGCGTCTGCCCCCTGGTGGTCAGTGCTCGTCATAGCAACCAATCATTCCACGGTTTGGTTGATTTGCATATTAGCCTTTTATTATACAGGATTAGGACAAAATATTATTTTGTTACCATTTTAAGTTATGATGTTACTCATGTCACTATTACCCCATTACATTGTATAAGTAATAAAAATATTTTGAAAGGAAAAAGCATTCTGTCTTAGTACCTTGAACTGCACTATTTTCTTTTTACTGCTTTTTGAGTAAGAGGCCCTGCATTTTCCTTTTGAACTAGGCCCTGCAAATCATGTCGGGCCCCTGATACTGAAAGCTAGTATTTCTTTGAAAGGGTTTTCATATTTCCCCAAATTTCCTGAGTCTGTTAAAACCCTTTTCAGCTATTAATGACTTCCCTCCAGTCCAACGAATGACAATCATGTTATAACTTTTTAAAGTGATGGCGGTGGGGATGGCTGGTCCTCTTGGTGGCTGACATTCTCCACTGTGCTGTCCTCTGCATCCTTTTCTGAGGCGCATTCTTCTGAATTGCCCCCACTGGTGGCAGATCCTAGTCCTTCAGATGTTGATATCAAATTTTTTGTGTGTGTTTTTAAAAATCCCCACCCAAGGATAATTTTCCATTGATTTTTCCCCCCTGAGGCCCCTCCTCTCCATTGATTTTTTTAAAAGAGAGATTGGAAGAGAGAGGAAAAGACAGAAACATTGATGTGAGAGAAACACATCAATTGGTAGCCTCCTGCAAGCGCCCTGACCAGGGCCCGGGCGGGGAGGAGCCTGCAACCCAGGTGCCCTTGACCAGAATCAGACCCGGGACCCTTTGATCCGCAGGCCAACACTCAGTTCACTGAGCCAAACTGGCTAGGGCTGATGTCAAATGTTGAAGTTCTTTTTGGAGGTACCATATGTGACAAGTGCTCTGGTAACTGTGAAGACTGGAGGATAGGATGAGGAAGACAGAGGTGCAGCGGAGGGCCACATGACTGTTGAGTGGTCTCCATTCCATTGAAGACTGGGGGGGGAGGGGGGGGGCCTGCTACAGGTGAGGCCCAGGTGGAGCAGGGGGGAGGCCTGACCCTGTGTTGGGTCTGTTGGGTCCTTCCGTGTCCCGGGGGTCTGCTCCTCAGGTGGGCAGCAGCCTCAGCGTGGCCCTTCCAAGGCTGGTAGGGCTCCTGATGGTAAGCCTTGCAGCCTTCAGGCCGCCTTACAGCAAAGCGGGTGGAACCGGGTAGACTGGAACCTAGCACTCACCTCTTCTGGAGTTTCCAATTGACCAATCCCTCTGCCCCATCATGGAGGGAAGCAATCTGATTGGCTTAATCTTGGGGGCCCTCTTGGCACCAAGACATTAGGACCTGTCAGCCTATGAAGGGGCAGCCCGTGGATCACGTGTTCACCTCTGTCCAATCAGGCGCCTGGTGGCATCTCCCATGCAGGGTTGAAGGTGGGACTTGCGGATGAACAGGGACTTGGACACCGCCAGCACCAGGACTGACCGGCCACGGAGGCCAGAGCTCACCTGCTCCTCCCCACCACCCCTGCCCTGTGGGAGTTCTCACACCTCCCTCACCCGCCTTTACTCAGTCCATCACGTACTGATGGGCTACTTCCTCAAATATATCCTGACTTCCACTCTGCCCATCGCCATGGTGATCTTCCTGTCTGAAGGATGGGCAGCAACCTCTTGACCGCCATCTGACCACCGAGTGGCCTATTAAAAGCTCACACCCCGATGGTCACTCACCCTCTGGGGGTTCCCCATCACTCAGGATGAACCAGACCAGCTCCGGAGGCCTCAGGCCCTGAGCGTGGGGCCCGGGCACCCTCTGGCCCGCCAACCCCTCATCATCTCCTGCCGAGCTTTCCCGGGCCAGGGTCACGGTGTGTGTCCAGTGCCCTCACCAGCCCACTTCCTCGCGGGTGAAGCCCGCTCCTCCTAGAGCTCAGGTTCTGGGGCAGCTGCCCAGAGGAGCTGCCTCCGCGCCCAGGTCTACACGGCACCTGCTGGCGTTCTCTCAGCACTTCTCACAACTTACGTTTTGCTTGCATGTGGGTTTACCATCCTTGTCCAATGTTGAACTCCTAGGGCCCAGCGCGGTGCCTGGCGCTTTATAGGGCCTGGGGCCACTAACTTTCAGAAGTGTCCTGCAGCCTGGCTGGTGTGGCTCAGTGGTTGAGTGTCCACCTATGAACCAGGAGGTCACGGTTTGGTCAGGGCACATACCCGGGGTTTCGGGCTCGATCTCCAGGAGGAGGTGTGCGGGAGGCAGCCGATCAATGATTCTCTGTCATCATTGATGTTTCTATTTCCCTCCCCCTTCCTCTCTGAAATCAATAAAAATATATTTTTAAAAATAGTGTCATGAGACATATGTAATACTTTTAATAAAGAATTTTTAAAAAAACAACAGTGTCCTACAAACATATGCATACACAGAAGCACAGAAATGGTCTGGAAGGAATGAGGTCAAGCTCTTAATCTTGGTTGCATCTGGAGGTTGGGGAAGGGTCCAGGATAGGGAATGGTAATGTATGCGCACATGTGTGTATGTGTGTGTGTGCGCGCGTGCACGTGCAAACATATGCAAAGTGGGAGGCACTGGCTTCAACTGTAATGATTTTACTTTTTACTAAACAAAGATGAACAAAACATGTCCCAGGTCAGGGGAGAGGGCGGGTGGGCAATCCCAAGCCACGTTCTCGAAGAACAAAGAGCAAGAACACAAGGCCACACGCTGCAACCCGCTGGTGGGTTTTGAGTCTTCACTTTATTACTGTCACTGGAAGTCACCACCTTCACTTGGTTCACCACAAATGGACGGATGTCAGAAAGGAGGGTCCGCGGGGCCACTGGATTCACTCCTGAGAGACCGAACCCGGTGGTGGGGGAGTCCCGAGTGGGGCCCAGGATGGGGACCACCATTCACTGCACACACGCACACACACACAGATATATTTGCGGAGCCTTATATTATACATCTTATATATAGAAAATATATATATTTATACTATACACAGGCAGTAACGCTGCAGGAGGGGCGGGCACCCAGACAGGGCTTGGGCACCAGGGGACGGGGAGGGTCACGTCGAGGCGCAGCGCTGGGAGATGGCGGACCAGCCCATCCTCCCACAAACTCTAGAGAGGGGAGCTCCCCCTTCGTGCTCCTTAGAGTCAAAAGGGGTCTTGGTTCAAGGTTGGGGGCCCCGAGGGGGTAACAAGTAGGGGTTCTTGGTTACATGGGAGAGGCCTGGGACCCTGGAAAAGTCTTTGAAGATAAAGAATCACCAGGGAAGGTTGGAGGGGGGAGGGAATGCCAGTCCCTTGGGAATGAGTCTCTCCGAGTTACACCCCCGGGTAGACCTAGAGCCACACTCAGGCAGGCGGCCGTCACTGGGAAGGGTGGGTGTCCGCTCAGAGGCAGGAGGCCTGGACCCTGGGCCGCTAGCTCTGTGCTGGACTTTGGACAAGTCACCGTCTTCCGGCTGACTCCTGTCTCGAGGGTCCTTGCAAGTCTAACCTTGTGTGGAGCCAGTCTGCCCGGGCTGCCTTGTGCTTGATGGGAGAAGGAAACCCACACTCTGGCCTCCCAGCTTGGCCCCCAGGGGTCCTCAGCCAACCCAAAGAACAGGCTTCCCCAACTTCCCAGGAGGGGAGTCAGGAGCCGTGGGTCCCCTCCACGCCCTGCCCTCCGACATCTCTCGCCCTGTTTCTCAGCTCCACCGTGGGCTGGCCCCTGCCTGATGGTGGATGTCTGGGCTGTACCCCAGGATGCTGAGTGAGATGAGTCAGTGACCCCCACTCCTGCCAGGGGCCTTGTAAACTCTCCCGGTCCAGGGTGGCAGGGAGTCTGCAATAAACACCCAGGGACTGGATGAAGCGGAAACGTACCCTGCCCTCCAGCCCAGCACCACCACAGCGAGGCTCCGGGGAGATCAGCTGGGCAGACCCGGGGTCTCCTAGTGCCCGTCAGCAGGGGAGGCTCCTGGTGGGGAGTGGGGTTGGGAAGGACTTCTCACTGCCTCCTGCATGGGCTCAGAACTTCCGCCAGAAACACACCCGCCCCACCCACCCCCTTATGGCTCCGAAACCTTGGGTCTGGCACAGGCCAGCCACTCAGCAACAAGCAGCTGCTGCCCGGCCGTCTGGGGTCCTCTCCCCTCAGTGCTGCCCCTGGGGAGGACCTGAACAGACCCGAGTTCGAATCCATGCCCCACTGCTAACTCACACTCCCTGAGCCTCAGTTTCCCCTCTGTTAAGTGGGGATAACAATGCTACTTCTCTGGCGAGGAAGTGCCTTCTCCTTCCCTCTCGGCCGTGCTGACTCCTCCATCCTCAGGACCCTCCTGGGGCCTCAGCCCAGCGTGCACCCTGGTCCATAGTGGGCCTAGTGCTCATCTCCGACCGGCTGTCAGCTCCCGATCTTAGCAGGTGCCCCATAGCTGCTATTACTGCCTCTTAGGGTTCTTCTGTGGGCATCTGGTGCTCGTGGTAAGAACAGCCAACACCTCTCTCCACCGTTCACGGCCTCCCTGTCCCTCGAGGCTCCACAAAGAGCCCACCTTGTGCAACAGTCCCCCCCATCTTCCCTGTACATTGGGGACACCCGCTACTCTCTCCTCTGCAGCCTGTGGCCTCCCCGAGCCTCCCCTGCACCAGGGCTCTCACCGTTCTTCTTGGCGCAGTTCGGACCACGGCAGCAGCTCCTAGGCTGGCCATGCGGGTCCAGAGTGCTTGTCCTCTCTACTCAGCCTCCCACAGGGAGACCGGCCCCCCCCTGAGGGCCAGGGGAGGGACCTTCCTTCCCTTGGCTCCTGGAGCCCCCAGGCTGGCTGACCCCAGAGGAGGGCAAGGTGAGACAATGTCCCAGATCAGTTGTTTCCTGGGAGTCACAGGGCAGGGAATTGGGCCGCCTGCTGGGCAGCTGGGGCCAAGAAACCCAGGCAGCACGCCCAGCTCTGCCGCTCACGCTGTGACCTTGGCCAGCTGCTCCCCTCTGGGCCTCCTTTCCACCTGCTGTGGGCGGGGTCTTGGCCTCGCCTAGGGGCAGGGACAGTCGTCAGTCCTTCGGGAGGCCACAAAAAAGGTGCTGAGCCCCCAGCAGGGCACACACAGCAGAGTGGTATGCAGGGGATGCCCACCCTGGGAGGGGCCGGTGGGAACATGGCGAGGGGCTGTCCAGCTGGGGAAGAGCGAGGGCAGAATAGGCCCCCAGCTTGCAGCAGAATCGGGGTGTCTCAGGGCTGAGGTCCCGAGGCCTCCCAGAGTAATGGGGGCACCAAGCACTGGAGCCCCAGGCTGAGGGATGGGGAAGGCCGGGACAAGGGACAGCAGGTGCCCTGCCATCAGGCAGCCTAGGCGTGGCCCCACCTCCATCTCTGGCTGCCTGAGTGACCCTGGACGAGTGACCTTGACTTCTCCAGGCCTCAGTTTCTACAACCATAAAACGCAGACAGCCCGGTGCTCCTAGCAGGGCTGCTGTGTCACACCTAGCAGGTGACAGCCCTACGGTCTTGCGGGTGTTCAGTTACCCTGCAGCCAGACCTTCCCAGCATCACCCGTCTTTCTCACCATTCCCACCGCTGGCACCAAAAGGCCTCCTCCACATCGCCCCCTTCCCGGACACCATTTCTCTCACACCCATGCCAAGCATGGGCTCAGCGCACAGTAGGTGCTCAATGGATGCTCGATGACAGAATGGATGAATGCAAACACCCTAGGCTCCTGCTGGACACACACACGTAGACATACCCCCTACAACTCCTTATGCCCGTCCCACCCAAGCCGCCCTGGGCCTCAGAGGAACAACTGGGAGGCTGATGAGGAGCTGGGCAGGGCAGCCTGGGAGGGAGGGGGCCGGGTGTGGGAGGAGGGGGCAGGGGGCAGTTGGGGCTGGGGCAGGCGGGGACTGGGCGAGGAGGAAGCGGTCACTGCGGCTCAGTAGCCCTGCGACTGGTAGCCCTGGGGCTCGGTGTCGAAGGCGTTAGCTGGCTGCTGGTAGGTGCCACCCATGCCGGTGGGGTCGGGCCCGGCGCTGGGCTCCACGTAGGGGGCGTAAGGCATGCTGGAGTCCTGGCTGGGGTCCATGTAGTCCTGGGAGAAGAGGGCCGAGTCGGCGCCAATCTGGTACCGCTGGAAGGCCAGCACAGCCTGGCCTGCCTGGGGACGAGGGCCGGGGGGACAAGGACAGGTGGGAGGGGATGGTTAGGGGAGAGACAGACAAGAGCACCGGGTTAGTGGCGGTTAGTTCGCTAGACACAGGCAACAGAGGGTTAAATATCCTAAAGCACCAAAGACAAACCAAGGCGGAAAGCTGTCCTTGCAGCAGCCCTGGAGAGGCCCACAACCACATCCTCCAGAACTTGAGAAGACACCTGCCCCGTCTCCCCCAAACCCAGAGGTCGCTCTGGGCCACCGACAATCCTAGCCTCCACTGCGGAGTGTCACAATGGCCCAAAGACCCACACCTCCTTCCCAAACTGTGTCCTCGGGGCTGTTATGCGGGATGGGGAAAAGGAAGTTTCTGGGTGGGACAGAGAACTGTTGCCGTCTCCTAAAGGCGTCCGCCTCTCTTGCAGCAAATGCGAGCAAATAACTAAGTTCTGGCCAATAGATCACCCCAAGTTCTTTGCTCACCCTTGACCTGATGCCTGGAATGCAGATGTGATGGCTGGAGCTCTAGTTGCTAAAATGGACCATGAGGTCCAGGACCAAGTTGTCGGAATGTAAGAGGCCTGGGTCACCAAAGGCTTCTGGAGCCGCTCTGCCAGCCTCGGACTGTCTGCCTAGACTTGGGCTTCGTTTAAACCACTGTTGTTTGCTGCTGAACCTAATTCTGATGGAAACCACTTGGTCCGACAAGTTTGGGAAACGGAGTTAAACAGTAAGTTTCAGGAGCACAGGACTTGTCGGAGCCTTGGCCATTTACTGTACGCTGGGTCCCCAAGGGGGAAGCTGCCGCCACATCCACCAGCCTGATATGACCACTGAAGCCCCTTTGTTTTCAGTTGGGAAAAACTTGTCTCCCGCATCCATGCATAGGTGGGGAATTCTTTTTCAGTAAAAGCAACTATATTGTTATTAAGGACCATGACATTGACCACACCAAGCCAGGAAGTGAAATGTCACTATAAAAGTAGCTTACAGGGTTACATTGAGCGCTCTCCACAGTCTCTCCAGCCAGGCAACCTGCCTGTGATGGGAACCCCACACCCCCATTTTTGAGCTGGGAAGACTGAGGCCTAGAGAAGGGAGGCCTCAAGGCAGAGTTAGTGCCAGAACACAGGCTTGAGCACAGGCCTTCCCAGGCCACACCTCCTTCCCTTGATCAGCCCCCCGACAAAGCACCAAATCAACCAGGAACCCCAAAGGGCCATGAGGTCTGACGCAGGTGCTTGGTGTTTAATTCCAGAAAGTTCCAGAAGCCCAGTGACTAGGCATTAACTTCTGATCTGTGTCAGTGGAGGAAGCTCTGAGGGGCAGCCCTTCCTGGGAAGTGGCTGTTTAAAGCAAAGTGCCGGGGGCCCAGGAAAGGCCGGCCTGAAGGAGCTGGCTGAGGAAAGCAGGGGCCCTGCTGTATTTCTATGTTGTATGAGGTCCTGGCTGCTGGCAGCTCACACAGGAGCCCGGAGAAGCAGGAAGGGGGACAGCCCCTGCCGTGGCGCCTGGCCTTCAGCGCCCTGAGTCATCGGCAAGCTCGCAGGAGCACGTGGGGAAGGGATGAATGAGTCCCCGAGAGACACAGCTGCAGACCGGGTTCTCCTGGGGCCCCGGGCTCCCCGTCCAAGCTGGTTTCCTGCAGGGAGACAGAGGGCTGGAGCAACGACCTCTGCGGGTCCTTCCAGGGCAGCCTCTGACCACAGGCACCTCATGCCAACTGTGGACACTCCCCTGCCCTCCCTGAGCCGAGGCTCCCTTAGCATCCAGTTCAAGGAGCCACGTGGGCCCCTGCTGGACTGGGTTGCGGAGGGGAGGCTGGGAGTTCTGCTCAGAGCCCAGGAACCCGGTGTCCACGTGCCCTGCTTCTGCAGGTCAGGCGCACTGTTGGGCCTCCACTGTGCCTTCAGCAGCCTGCCCTTGGATGCCTCCAGGGTCAGGAGGCTCATGCTGTGTGCTCTGCTCTGGGGCCTGCTTGCGCTCCATCACCTCCTCAACTCCTGTCCAGGCACCCGAGGGCCCCAAGGAGGGAACCTGTGCAGAACTGGAGGCCAAAGTCCTTCAGCAGAACAAGGATTCGCCACATGAGAATCACCCCGAAGTCAAGACTGTGGAAGTGTCCCTGACTCCTTGGACAGAATGAGTGAATAAATGAATGAGTAAATGACGGAGTGAGTAAATGAATGGAACAAATGAAAGAACAAAAGAGCCTACATTTATTGAGCATCTCTGTGCCAGCCTCTGTCTCATCCGCATAAGGCCCTGAGAGATTGGTCCACTCTCACTCCTCAGTCCAGGGAATTAGACTGAGGCTCAGAGAGGTGCAGGGTTTTGCCCAAGGTCACACAGCACAGGAGAGCAGAGTCAGGACTGGAGTCCTCTGATGTCCTCAGCCAGGCCTCCCTTGGCCGCCAGCCTCCACTGGGACTGGAAGATCAGCCTTCATGCCACAGCCGTGGCACAGGCCCTCACACTGTCCACAGCTCAGCACCCTGGCAGCCCACATAGGGAGCCGTCTCCCACCCTCTAACAGCCCATGGCAGTCCACTGAGGGAGATTTCGGTTTGGCGGTCTCCCCTTCCCTGCACATGGGCTTCTGGGGCCAGGGAGCCCCATCTGATTCATCACTAGGCACAAAACAGCTGCTCAATAAATGTTTACTGAATGAATGAACACATGAAGGGTAAACAAAAGAGGTAACGGAAAAGTGGCGGGTCTTAACTGGCCTCTCGAGCCAGCCCTCCACTGCCCTGGATGCCCGGGCATCCTGGCCGTTGCAGGCAGGAGGCTGCCGCACACCCTCGCCAGGGGGCGGGACATAGGGCTCCCTGCCTCGGGACGCCGGGCAGGCCTACGGCTGTGCTGAGCTGGGAAACAGCGTGTTGTACTCCTCCTGGAAGGTAAGATCCTTGAATCTCCGCACGGCCAGGGCAGCGCTCAGGCTCTGCCGGGAGAGAGCAGGGGTGAGGCCCGCAGGGAGGCTGGCTTCAGTGGGCCGGCGAGTACCTATCACCCTCCTCTGAAAGTTCAGTGTCCAATTACCCACTCCTTTGGGAGCGCCCTCTCATCTCAGGGCTTGCTGCTCCCTAACTCTTCCCTGTGGGCCGGACGGCCCCGCTTCCAGGGGACCTTCTCTGGTCTGAATACCCAGGGTCTCCGGGTTTCCCTCCCAGCCTTGAGGACACAGAGGTCTGGAGTGGCCATAGCTGGCCTGCTGGGGCCTGAACCACAGGTCTCCTCTTGCAAACACTAGCTCCCAATATGGTATCAGGGCGAGGGTCCCATGAGAAATGGATATCCAGGGGCTCTCCACAAGAGACAGAAGTCGCCCCAGGGCAGGCCCGGGGGGTGCGGCATGGGGGCTCCTCCCTGCAGAAGGCTCGGCCAAGGGCTGCTCGAAGGCCAGGGGAGAGGGGACCCTTGGGGTGAGAGCGGTGCGACCCAGGCATCTGCAGAAGAGGAGGGGAGGGATACGCTGAGGTGACCTGGAGCCTCATTCCAGGGCGGTCTTGCTGGCTCGCTGGTGGCGCTCAAGACCACTGGGCTCAGAGCCCACAAGTGCTGCCCCAGAGACACGCTCTCCCTGACCCACACGTTTTCTTACTAGTAACTCAAATACATTGCCAACACACAAAGAGCAGATTCACACAGAAACTCAGGCTTCTGGCTTCTCCGGAACACGGAAGACCTGGCCTCCGTAGGGCCCCATTCCTGCTTCAGGACAGGCCGAGGAGAGGGTGCCCTGCAGGTCAGGCATGGACATGCCGCCTGGCCCGCCAGGTGGGCACCTGAGTTTGTGATGCCCTTCCCCCATTTTACAGATGGGAAGACAGAGGCGGGAAAATTAGAGGCAGCTCCAGGGTGTGAGCCAGGTCTCCTGCGTCCTGGGCTGGGTCCTTCCCAGCCTAAAGCCTCGGAGCCTCATCTTGCCGGGAAGCCTCAGCGTTGTCGCCTGTTACCGAGGAGAGAATACCCACCCAGCTACCGTGGTGGGCGCTCTGCACCAAGCCAGGGCCTGCCATCACCTCGTGACTGTCCTCTCTGGCAATGGGGGCAGCCTCCTTCCTCGGGGGCAGCCCCGCCGGGCGGAGGGCAGAGCCGGATGGAGTCCCTGGCAGGCCGCAGGCCGCAGCCCGGAGCCTGGCTGGGCAGGTGGTTACTCACCCACGTGAAGATGGAGAAGAAGGAGAAGGCGATGGCGGCCCGGGCTGCGTCCGTCCCTTCGTTAAGTGGGTTGTCCTTGGGCTTGGAGACCTGCCACTGGTTGGCCAGGTAGCAGAAGCCCACGAACCAGAGGAAGGCCCAGAAGGCTGGGGTGTCCACCAGGGTCAGGCAGAACAGTCCACGCGTGGGGAGAAGGGGTAAGTTGGGAGGAAATGGGGAACGAGGAACAGGGAGAGGTTCAGGAGCACATCTCCCAAGCCCTCCCCCCACCCCCGAGGGGGACAGAGAGGGGGCACAGGGAAGGTGGGGCGAGAACAGAGAGGTCAGTCAGATGCAGCCGAGAGGTCACGGAAAGGATCCAGCAAAGGCCCAGGGAGAGCCAGGGCAGGGAGAGGGACAGAGGGACGGAGGCCGGGAGGGAGGGACAGAGAGAGAACATCAATCAGCCTGGGCCAGCCTTTCTCTAACCTCAGCTAAGCACACTTCCCAGCTGTCCCTGACTGTCCCCCATCCACCCCGAAGCCTGCAGCTTCCTGGGAGGAGCACCCTGATACCCCATCACCCCTGACTGCAGCCTCGCAGAGATCTGAGCAGGGGAAGGGGAGGGGAGCTAGGGCAAGGGTGTGGTGCAACCCCAGTGGGCCTGAGCCTCGACCTCTATAGCGATGGGCCTCTGGCGCCCAGGCCCGCCCACAGGCACTGCTGGGGGACCCTGAGGCTCTGTGGGACACAGTTTGAGAACTATGAATTTTGCTCTAGTTCCTTCAGGTCTAAGGGCCTCCAGACCTGCGGCCACGCTCATCCTGAGTCCCAGGCCTGGAAATGGAGGGAGGTCCCTGCCAGACCTCAGACCATGGCCTTAGGCTAGTGAGGCTGATGTCTTTCTTACTGAATCTCAACCTAAGCCTCCACCAATCAGATTCTCCAAACTCGTGGGACGGAGGTCAGGGTACCTCTGCCAAGGCCGTTTCTGAAGGGCAAGTGCAGCAGGTCACCTAGGCTGCCAGCTCCAGAGTCTGACCCGCCCAGGGCACCTACTGTGTGCCAGGGCCTTCAGTCACAGCGCTATTTAGTTCTCAGGGGCCCACGAGGGCGGTGGCACTGAGTGGAGAGGGCACCCCTGGATGCTGCAGTCCCTCCTCGCTGTGGAGCTGTGGTCACTGGGGTTGCAGGCCAGCACTGGTCCCACGCTTCCCCGTGGCAGCCCTGTGACCCCCAAGGCTGTGCCTTCACTCGCCTGTTAGGTGTGCATGGGCATCATCGGGACCAGGGCCGGGACAGCCCTCTGCAGACTCTGGGGCGGGGCTCACCTGAGACACCGATGTCCGACAGGACGGCTTTCTTGCGGTCCTTCACGCTGCTGATCTGCGGGAAGTAGACGTCCAGGGCCAGGTAGAGCAGGCAGGTGATGAAGGTGAGCACGCCCACGGTCACACCGTAGCTGCAGGCGTTGGGGTTGCGGTTGTAGATGCAGAACTCCTCACCCTCCAAGGGGGTGTTGAGGTAGCCCTCGTTCACGATGGAGCCAAACACCACGATGGAGAACACCTGAAGAGGGCAGGGAGGGGCAGGGGAGGCATGAGACCCAGGCAGGCCCACCCAGTACCAGCCTGGTGTTGGGCGGGGAAAGGGCTGTCCACCAACACCTCTCAGCCTGATGCTGCCTTTCTTCACCCCAAAAAGCAGGCATTTCAGAGGGAGGCCCAGAGAGGGAGGGCAACTTACTTGGGGTCACACAGCACAGGGCAGGATCAACGGCTTCCATCTTCGGACCCAGATCTGAGGACCCTCTCACTGCAGAATTCCCCCCCGCCAGCCAGGTCATGAGAAGGCCTCTTGCACCCCGACACCAAGGTTCCTCTAGGACTGGACCTGGCCTCCCAGAACCAGTGGTCTCATGTGCTCCTGGGCAGGGGACCTGCTCAGCCTCCACCCCCGTCTTGTGCACCCCTCCCCTCCACGGAGGCCTCAGGCCCCACCTGTCTGTCCTTGGTCCCACCCTTCCCTGTCGTCTAGGCCCCGACACGTGGAAGGAGTGATGGAGGGAAAAATAATGATCCTGCCGATTACAGGGGAACCTGCACCACCATGAGTGAGTTACCTGGGGTCCCTCACTTAACCCCCCAACAGGTCTCTTTCAGTCTGGCTGGCACCCGGCTAAGATGGCCCCAGGACCCCACTTCCTGGTATTCACACCCTGGACTGTGGGCGAGGCCGAGTGGCTGCTACAGAATATGGCAAAAAGTGGTAGGATGTCACTTCTGTGAGAAAGTTTCAGGCTCTGGCTCTTGGCCCCTCTTGCCTGCTCACTCTGATGGGAGCAGCTGCCATGTTTTGAGCTGCCTCATGGAAAGGCCTACCTGGTTAGGAACTGAGGGTCAAGAGCCAGAAGGGCACGGAGCCTCTCAACCCAACAGCCCACAAAGAAGTGAGTCCTGCCAGCACCGTGTGAGTGGACTTGCACGTGGATCCACTCGCAGCCGTCAGATGAGCCCACAGCCCCCCGCTATAGCCCGTGACAGACCTGAGGCAGTGGCACCTCGCTAAGCAGATACCCACCCACAGGAACTGTGAGATAACAAATGTCTGTTGTTTTAAGTCACTACAGTTTGGGGTAGTTTGTTACGCAGCAATAGCTGACTAATACAAAACCAGTGCCATCGGCATTTTGCAGATGAGGCAGTTAAGGTGCAGGTACTCGTGAATGTGCCCAGCGTCACACAGTGACGTTTGGTCAGTGGCAGAGCTGGCTTCACACTCAGGGACCCGACTCTAAAGTTCATGCTTTTCCCTCCTGCCTCTTGCCTGCCCTGAGACTGTGAGGATGAGCAGGCCCCGACCCACGGTCACACATGCAAGAAGGCTGAGCCTCGGCCAGAGGGAGTTTTTATCATCCATTTCCCACTGCTCTTTGCTTTCCAATTGTTCCACAAAAACACTATAATTTCAATATAAGCCAGACTTATTTTCATACTCAGTTGACATCCAGGATGGCTAGTGACTCCAAGGCAGGTGTGGGGAAAAATATGAGAAGCAGTATTATTTTATTTATCTTTTTTATCTTTTTAAGATGTCTACACTTTACATGGGTTTTATAATGTGCTGGATACATGGGCATAGTAGTAATATATATAAAACAAACAAATACGTCTACGTTGAATGGGAGGATTGATTTGAAAATGTTTCCTGAAGGAGTGTAGGACACCACTGGTTCATGACTCTCTGTGTTCAGAAGGATTCTGACCCAAATGTCCAGTGGATGAATGGAGAAGCAAGTGATAGCCTATCCATACAATGGAGTATTATTCAGCCACAGAGAGGACCACAGTTCTGATATATGCCACAGACAGATAACCTTAAAACAAGTGGAAAACGAAAAAAGCCAGACACAGAAAGTCGGTATTATATGGTTTCTTTTACATTCTATATCTGTAATAGAGACGGAAAGCGGACTAGAGGTTCCCAGGGTATGGGGGGGGAGGGGGAGAGAGAATGATTATTTAGTGGGTACAGAGCATTTTATGGGATGATGAAAAAGCTTTGAAACTAGAGAGAGATGGTGGTTACTGTAAATGCACTAAATGAACTGTATACTTTAAATTGTTTATTGTATGTTATATGAGTTTTTATGCAACTAAAAAAAAAAAAAAAAAAAGAAAGGATTATGGGACTGTGTCCTGGTCCACCACAGGCACACGTCGGCCAGTCCTGACTGGGACGGGACACACACCCAGTCAGTCCTTCAGACCGGGCAGTCCTGGCTCATAGCTCCGTCTGTCACAGGGCCTGCGTCTTCACAATCGTGAACCAGAGAGGGCGACTGTACTGCCCTGACTTCAGACTAAAACACTGAGGTTCAGGAAGAGGTGACCCTGCTGCTAGCAGTGCAGGCTGAACCTGAACCCAGGTCTCCTGACTCTCGGTCCTGTGCTTTTGTCCACCTGACCAAGTGCTGGGGTCCAGCCCCGGCAGGTCCATGGGTTCCCAAAGGTGTGGATGGAGTCGGCGAAGAATGAATAACAAGGAGACTGCGTTCAGTTGGTCAGCAGCCTACCCAGGTTCTCTAGCCAGGATCTCCAGCCAAGTTCTGTCTTTATTGTCTTGTTACATCTGTATTTATACCAGTTGATTTTAATCCTATCCATTCTATTCCAAAGGTTGGGGCGTTCCTTAATCTAGTTCTGTTGAGTTTAATCCTGTCTAGGTTAATCTCTGTGTTCCATTATAAGGGCTATTCCAAGGTCACTGCTCTACTGATAAGCTACAAGGAAGTGACTGACTAGGGATTATCCTACCTGGTAAAGGTTATGTAGCTTAAGCGTGACTGTTCGTAGTTAAAGTGATTAATTACCCGCCTGGCACTTAGTTAAGGGGTTTTATTCCCTCCCTAACTTCAGGGAAAAATCCCTACCTGGGGAAACAACCTTTCTCGGAGAGGTGACCTTGGTTAGAACACATAGCGCCAAGAAGGGGAGTAAACATATTAAGAACAGTATGTCATATACGCCAGGTCCCTTGAAACATATGCTGTGCAGATGCTTCTTCCCTGCAGCGACTGTGTCAAGCAGCAAGGGTGGACCGGCTTCCGGCAACCAAGCTGACTCTCAGCTGCAGGAGGCAGGTCCAGAGGACGGAGTGGTCTTTCCTGAGACCTGAGGGTCAGCAGGAAAGCATCAGTGTGACTGGATCCACAGTGTGTGACTGGATCGGCAGTGCGTGTGACTGGATCAGCAGTGAGTGTGACTGGATCCGCAGTGAGTGTGACTAGATCGGGCAGTGAGTGTGACTGGATCCGCAGTGAGTGTGACTGGATCGGGCAGTGAGTGTGACTGGCTCGGGCAGTGAGTGTGACTGGCTCGGGCAGTGAGTGTGACTGGATCGGGCAGTGAGTGTGACTGGATCTACAGTGAGTGTGACTGGATCGGGCAGTGTGACTGGATCAGACAGTGTGACTGGATCAGGCAGTGTGACTGGATCGGACAGTGTGACTGGATCGGGCAGTGTGACTGGATCGGACAGTGTGACTGGATCTGCAGTGAGTGTGACTGGATCAGGCAGTGTGACTGGATCGGGCAGTGTGACTGGATCAGACAGTGTGGCTGGATCCGCAGTGAGTGTGACTGGATCAGGCAGTGTGACTGGATCAGGCAGTGTGACTGGATCAGACAGTGTGGCTGGATCGGGCAGTGTGACTGGATCCGCAGTGAGTGTGACTGGATCCGCAGTGTGACTGGATCCGCAGTGAGTGTGACTGGATCAGGCAGTGTGACTGGATCGGGCAGTGAGTGTGACTGGATCAGACAGTGTGACTGGATCAGACAGTGTGACTGGATCAGGCAGTGTGACTGGATCGGGCAGTGTGACTGGATCGGGCAGTGTGACTGGATCAGGCAGTGTGACTGGATCGGACAGTGAGTGTGACTGGATCAGGCAGTGTGACTGGATCCGCAGTGAGTGTGACTGGATCAGGCAGTGTGACTGGATCGGGCAGTGAGTGTGACTGGATCAGGCAGTGTGACTGGATCCGCAGTGAGTGTGACTGGATCCGCAGTGTGACTGGATCCGCAGTGAGTGTGACTGGATCAGACAGTGTGACTGGATCGGGCAGTGTGACTGGATCAATGTGACTGGATCAGGCAGTGAGTGTGACTGGATCAGGCAGTGTGACTGGATCAGACAGTGTGACTGGATCAGGCAGTGTGACTGGATCGGGCAGTGTGACTGGATCGGGCAGTGTGACTGGATCAGGCAGTGTGACTGGATCGGACAGTGTGACTGGATCGGGCAGTGTGACTGGATCAGACAGTGTGACTGGATCAGACAGTGTGACTGGATCGGGCAGTGTGACTGGATCGGGCAGTGTGACTGGATCAGGCAGTGTGACTGGATCAGGCAGTGTGACTGGATCGGACAGTGTGACTGGATCGGACAGTGAGACTGGATCAGGCAGTGTGACTGGATCAGACAGTGTGACTGGATCGGGCAGTGTGACTGGATCGGGCAGTGTGACTGGATCAGGCAGTGTGACTGGATCAGGCAGTGTGACTGGATCGGACAGTGTGACTGGATCGGACAGTGTGACTGGATCGGACAGTGTGACTGGATCAGGCAGTGTGACTGGATCAGACAGTGTGACTGGATCGGGCAGTGTGACTGGATCAGGCAGTGTGACTGGATCAGGCAGTGTGACTGGATCGGACAGTGTGACTGGATCAGGCAGTGTGACTGGATCGGACAGTGTGACTGGATCAGACAGTGTGACTGGATCAGGCAGTGTGACTGGATCGGACAGTGTGACTGGATCGGGCAGTGTGACTGGATCAGGCAGTGTGACTGGATCAGGCAGTGTGACTGGATCGGGCAGTGTGACTGGATCGGGCAGTGTGACTGGATCGGACAGTGTGACTGGATCGGGCAGTGTGACTGGATCAGGCAGTGTGACTGGATCAGACAGTGTGACTGGATCGGACAGTGTGACTGGATCGGACAGTGTGACTGGATCAGGCAGTGTGACTGGATCAGGCAGTGTGACTGGATCGGGCAGTGTG